TGCTAGTTCCATTCCTATTGCTACTGGTGTATCAGGCATGAAAAAAAACAACTCTTGTACTCTTCCAGTAGAACAGGAATTCCAGCAAGACCGTACATAGTGGATTCCTGGTCCATATCCAATGAACATAGAGATGTCTCCGGCAATCCATCCTCTAATTTAACCATGCGACAGCATGACAAAGGTGCTGCAGCCTCAATCTTCTCTTCCATATCCCCCATTCTCCGCCTTCAAGCACCCGAGCGTTTTCCAAAATAGAAACCGACAGTATTGACAACTGCCCTGGTCAGGAGAAAGAAGCCTTCGGCTGTGACGTCGACCAGGCTAGCGGGGTTCAGGCCGCAGATCCAGGGATGATTCGCCGAAGTAAGGAACCTAAGCAATAGACCTGGCACCCTAAACACTCCCATCTACTTATCCTTTGCTTGGGGCTGCCTGTATTCCTCGGCCACACTTGGGCTGTTGTTTCGGACCCTTGAGCACTAGGTCGCTTTGTCGGCATTGGTGTCAAGTCTAGGCTTTGTTGCGAGGAAGGCCATCAGGAGGTGGTCGGCATGCTGCTGTAGGCCAAGGCCGACGTCAACTCGGAGTTCGGCGCACTCGGCCAGCGTCCGGTGTGGGCGGAAAGTGCAGAATCTCAAGGAAGCCATCGCCGAGCGTACCACCTGGCGAGTAGCTCGCCTCCAGCGGCTTCGAGCGCCGTAGGGCTTTGACGACCACCAGCGGCGTCTACTACTCGGGCACATCGCCGCCGCTCCTTGACGACGAGAGCTTGAGCTCTGGAGCAAGCCGCGGCAGGAATGGCACCTTTCAGCACCACTGCCCCATGCGACATGCCAGCACAACTGCCATCACGGCAAGGCATCCCTCTTCCAACATCCAACACAGCAGTCGCAGCACAGCGGGGGCTCGGTCCAGACATCGGAGTGGCACTTCCTGGCGGAGATCCTCATGCTTGCGGGTTTGTGCAGGCTAGACTAGGATAAGTGCCTTTTTTGAATAAGGCTTCAGCCCACCCCAGTCAGTCTGCCCGAATCATATCATCTAGTCGGGGTCTGCAAGCAGAAGCACGTCCGAGTACTTGTTCGAGACGGATAATTCAAGAGCTAGCCTTTGTCTCTAATGCTGTATAACATAGGCTTTCTGGACACTGCTGGCATTCAGCCACGAAGGTCTTTGTCCCTAAGCCCTAGGCCCTAGACCATGAAGCAAAGACAGGACACAGAAATTAACTTACTCTAGGAGCAGTTTACAAGTAGAAAGCCCGAGTTTGTCCCTAAGCCCTGGGCCCTACACCCTAAACCCAAGACAGGACACAGTAGTAATTATTTTACGACCATTTTTTACACAGCCCGAGTTTCTCCCTAGGCCGTAGGTCCTACACCCTAAACCCAAGGGAGGACACATTAATTAGTGTAGGAGCAATTTACAAAGCCCGTGTTTGTCCCTAAGCCCTAGGTCCCAGACTTTAAACCCAAGAGAGTTAGTGTAGGAGCATATTATTTACAAAGCCCGAGTCTGTCCCGAAGCCCTTGTCCCTACACCCTAAAGCCCACCGAGGACACATTAGTTTTTAGTGTAGGAGCATTGTACAAAGCCCGAGTTTGTCCCTAAGCCCTAGGTCCTACAGCCTAAACCCAAGAGAGGACACATGAGTAAGTAGTGTGTGAGCATTTTACAAAGCCCGAGTTTGTTCCTAAGCCCTGGGCTCTACACCCTAAAGCCAAAAAAGGACACACTACTGTAGGAGCAATTTACAAGCCGGAGTTTGTACTTAAGCCCTAGGTCCTACACCCTTAACCCAAGAAAGGACACATTTTTAAATAGTGTAGGAGCATTTTAAATTTAACAAAGCCCGAGTTCGTCCCTTTGCCCTAGGCCCTACACCCTAAACCCAAGGGAGGAGACATTAATTAGTGTAGGAGCAATTTACCAAGTCCGTGTCACTCCCTAGGCCCTAGACCCTAAACCCAAGAGAGGACACATCGTGTAGGAGCATTCTACACATGAGGTGCCCGAGATGCCGCGGAATCGTCTTCGACCGAGCTGCTGAGTCTGAAACTCAGACACTGGAAAAAAGTGCAACACACGAGCAAGATTGACTATCCTAGTATCTAGCCAGCCGCACGGAATTCTTGGCATAAGAGGGAGAAGCCGAGGCATCCGTAGCCTGGAGAGGTCGCAAACAAGGGAGGTGTTCTTGCAATCCGGACGAAGGGTTCGCAGAGGGTCGCCGAAGGGGCTGGAGCAAGGGTTCGCAGAGGTTCGAGCCGAAGGGCCAAAGCGTTCGCAGAGGGCTGGTCGCCGAAGGCTCCGAGGGAGGGGTTCGCAGCCCTTCGCGGGGCTTCGCGGGGCTTCGCGGGGCTCTTCTTTGCCTATTAAGAGAGAGAGAAAGAGAGGGGTTCGCCGAAGCTCGCCGAACCCCCCGGCAGTCGGGGTTCGCAGGCCTGCGGTCGAAGGGGGTGTGCCTTCGCAGGGCCTTCGCGGGGTCCTTCCTGGTCAGGGCTTTTCGCAGCTAGCCTGCCAGCCTTTTCCTGCCGTTCTGACTGCTCAGGCCGGACCGAAGCGACGGCGATGCGGCTTCGACGATTCGGCTGCTTCCGAGCGAGTGCCCCTCTCTTGCTTTCCCGTCCTGCAAGTGTTTCTTGGGCATTGCCTGCAGTTAGTTGAAGAAGCCGAGCAAGACATTTGTCATTGCAGCAGAGGACTTTCTGCCAAAGCGCTCCTGCAGACATCAACTCCCAAGAGTAGTCCAATTTAGAACTCAACCCGGCCGCGGATTTGCTTAGCAGCATGCAGTAGAGCCAGTGAGAGGCAACATATCTAAGCACAACAACTTTCTCCCTGCACCTGAGTCTGGAAGGTTCCTTGAATGCAAGTCCCAAAAGTAGCCCCAGCACCTGAGGTTGTAAGGTTCCCTACATTGAAGGCAAGTCCGAAAGTAGTCCGAGCATTGACTGGCAGTCCGACTCGTAGTCACGTAGTGTCTGAGTCCTCGTCCGAGCACTTACTGCATTGCCTCAGATGGCCTTGGTGGAGGCGGCTCCGAAGAAGAAGGCCGAGAAGAGGTTCAGCACAAAATATGCTGCAGAAGTGTCCGAGGACATGTCTCCTGCTGATCGGCGGAAGAAGCTCGGGAAGATGTACGAGCTCAAACGTAAGGAGAGCCGCGGCCGAGTCAAGTCTCGGTATGGAGACCATGCAGAGGTGGCCGCTGCAAAAACGCCCGAAGAGCGTAGGAAGATCCTGCAGAAGCTGTACAAGAGAGGAAAAAAGTCGGCGGCCGAGAAGAAGAAGGCGAAGAAGAAGAAGAAGGCCGACAAGAAGAAGATAAAGCACCGGGGCAGGCCAGCGGACCAGGACGGCATGGCTCTCTCGTCAGACAGCGAGGACCCTGCGGCCGAGGAGGCGGAAGAGGCGGAGGAAGAGGCCGAAGAGGACCGAGCAGGGATAAGAAATGACAGAGAGTCTTCCATGAGAATCATCAGCTACCTGAGGACTCTAACATAGTCGTACTCACCCTCGGACAGGCGTAGTTCAGACTCTGACCGGCCATTTTAAGACATGTACATCCTGTAGAAGTCTTCGCCGCGATCGGGAAATCAAACCACAGCAGGTTGCCCACATAAATCTTCTGCTGAGTTCTTGACAGCAGGAAGATCCAACCGAGGATGTGCCGGCCCAGCCTATCGCTGCTGCTTCGCCCGAGGAGGCTGCTGTCTCGCCCGAGGAGGAGCTGCGGCTTGCCCGGGATGAGCTGCGGCGGGCCAGGGTGAAGATCACTCAACTGGAGAGGCAGCTGAGGTGGCACGAGACGGTCCGGGACTGGGTGTCGCAGGCTGTGGTCTGGGGGTACACCAACAGAAGATGTGTCGAGACCCTGCCCGAGTGGGTGTGGCTTGAGGGCCGAGACCTGGCCGAGACCTATGCCGAGCACGTCCGAGTGAGGCACCAGGTCGCCGCTGCGAGTCAGGCCAGCGAGGCCGACGAAGCCCCGAGGATGCCGATCAGGCACCGTTTTTTGGGAAAGCATCCGCAAGGGTAGATGCTTCGTCCGAGGGGCAGTCGTCCGAGGTGCAGCAGCAAAAAAGAGTCGCTTCGCACGTGAAGAGGGAACGGTTCAGTACAGGATTGACATGTAACGGCCGTCAGCTAGGACATGTTCGAGACGGTTCTTTCATTTCGCAGGCCCGAGGAGCACTTGTCTAGAGGCCAGGCTTTGCAGTTCTGAGGCTCTAGGCACAGATCCAGTTGCAGCGGTTGCAGGCATGAGACCAGAAATCCATTGGAACTTGCTGCTTGAAAGCAACCTGCACGATTTTCCGAGCGATACTCTGCATTCCAGGAAGCTGTCGCCAGCTCAAAATTAGAAGAGAGGGAGCAGACGAGGATGCGAATGCAAGATTCAATTACTGCACAGGCAGGCAGCCACTATAATAATAATGTTATGCATCAGGTACAGACAGAAGCCGAGGATTCGCTGCAATTCAAGCAAGGCCAGCAGCGAGCAAAGGCCAGCAGCTACATTAGACATTTCATACAACATTCAACAATCAGTAAACAAACAATTGTTTAGGAAGCCTCCTCGCGGACAATCCTGCAGTTCTGGGGAATTGCAGGAGATCTGACCTGGAGACCCGGGACCATATCCTCATCTGGGCAAAGGTGCCCGAGCTCTGATCTTCACTTTCGGGCAAAGGTGCCCGAGCTCTGATCTTCACTTTCGGGCAAAGGTGCCCGAGCTCTGATTTGCACTTTCGGGCAAAGCTGCCCGAGCTCTGGTCTGCATTTTCGGGCAAAGGTGCCCGAGCTCTGGTCTGTATTTTCGGGCAAAGGTGCCCGAGCTCTGGTCTGCATCGGGCAAAGGTGCCCCAACTCTGATCTGCACTTTCGGGCAAAACCGCCCGAGCCCTGATCTGCACTTTCGGGCACAACCGCCCGAGACCTGACCTCCCGAGTCCTCCGAGCTCTTGCGTCTGCCCGAGCTCCGCCTGCCCGAGATGCCGCCGAAGAAGGGCAAGAAGGCGGAGGCAGCGGCGGCCAAGAAGGCCCGTCTGGAGGACAAGGAGAAGGTTCAGGTCCGAGAGGCGATCGCCTTGCAGCAGAGGCAGGGCCAGGCTCAGATTCTGAGCGAGCTCATGGGCTACTTCGAGTCCCACCCGAGCGAAGCCAGCTTTATGCTGGCTAACATCAAGGCCGGGCACATGGACTTCAACAACGAGCCCGAGCCGTCCGAGACCAAGCTGCCGGGCCACATGAACAAGGTGAAGCTGTTGAGCAAGGAGGTCAGTTTGGGCATACTGTCCGAGCTCAACAGCGGCCTGTCCGAGTGGCTGAGCACGACAACGGTGCAGCCGGCGCCCGAGGACGGCGGGAGGCAGAAGTCCTTGTCGAGGCTGGATGTGGCCAGCGTGCTGGGTTACCTCTGTGGGATGGACCCTGCGAGTGCTCTGCCGTGCAAGAGCCTTGGGCGACTGACGAGGAAGCTCAAGGAGCGGTACGAGTTACTCGGCGCCCGAGGGTCCACCTTCCGAGTGTCCGAGCAGAAGACGTTGAAGGACTGGAGCGGTACAAGTTGTGTGAAACTGGGAGTGGAATCCCCCTAATTAATTAATTAATTAATTAATTAATTAATTAATTAATTAATACTTAGCAAGAATAATTAGTATTAGTACGTAACTCAGTCACTGAGACACAGGACTTCTGGGCGGAGCACAGCTACTGGAGCCTCGAGAAGATCGCGGATGGGCAGTTCAACCTCGTCGACAACACCTTGGTCACATCCGCCGCCCGAGCCAAGACCAAGGTCAAGCTTCCGGCCGAGCTCTGTGCAGGAGGTGACCCCGTCTTGGCCGATCCCTTCCTGTGGGCCAAATGCACAATCAAGCGGGGAGTGTGCGTCCGAGCTGTGGGCCAGCTGCTGGAGGAGATGAAGATTCAAGACCGCTTCGCGGTGAGTCGGCCCCTCGTGCTGAAGGAGTGTGACGGCGGCCCCGAGACTCCTACCAAGAAGAAGATCACCACTCCAAACGAGGCGTCCGAGAAAAGCCAGCAGCCGGGTCCCACAGCGAACAAGACGCCCCAGTCTCGGAAGAGAAAGCGGCTTCAAACTTCCTAGTCCCCAGGCTCACCCAAGACGCCTCGGAGGCGGCTGTTCTCGCCCGGAAGCAACGGTGCCGGGCCCGGGCCGAAGGCAAAGTCGCGTCCGAGCACTCCCAAGTCCTCCAACAAGGGCGAGAAAGACGAGGCAGATGAGGAGCTCCCCGAACTCGAGGAGAACGAGGGCGAGCCTCCCGAGAACGGCGACGGCACTTTTCAAATGTGATGCGTCCGAGGAGGCATCTGGGTGTTCCAACTTTCTGACAGTGGGGCTGTAGAAGAAAGAGTTCCCTCCCGACGAAGCCGGCCAGACCGGTGGGCCGCTCTGGAGTAGCTTCGTATTTTGGTTCCATAGCCTCCATGCCATCAGTCAGTGACGTTGCGAAGACACGAGCAACACACCCTGGCTGGACAAAAAGTTACAAGGGTTTGGCCTTGCACCTGAATTCAATTCCAGACCTGCACGACCCATGCTGTCCCATCCTTGCGAGGTACCTGCTGCCTGGGCGTTCTTGCCATCGGACAACTTCGATGCCGACTTCAGGCACACGGGGTCAAGAAGTCTTTCCTTTGTTCCGGATTGAATTCTGAGAATCTGCCATGCGAGTTTATTTGGTCCTGGCAGTCCTCTCCTCGCAACGGTAACTGCACATGTCAGGGTAACCTGCTGCCTCTGTACCCCAACTAGTTATTATATACAACTATGTCCACACTTGCTGAACGAGACTAGGCTGTCTTCCTACAAACTCACAGGGGCTTGCTTTGACTATGGGGTCAGAATAAATACAGAATTAACAATAATCATGAATCATCATCTACATCCGTGCTGCCGTTACAGTCTCAAAGTTTCAAAGGGCCACAGCTCTCTGTATGGGGTCGTCGACAACTCTTCAAAACTCTCGCTCTGCACGAAATCCCAGTCACTAATTAATATTATCAGTACTGTACTGTTGTCACGTTATTATGTATCCTTAGTACTTCTTCTTCTTATAATTATTTACTACTATTACTACTATTATTTAGTATTGCCACCCGACAAATGCATTGCAGGTCAATCAATCCCTGCTTGTCCCAATTCCTTTTTTTTTTTGCTTTTTTCGTCCACTACAAGTAAGAATCATCATGACTGCCGAACCGGCTCCAAATGATCCCAATGCACTCGCCGCTTGCAAACAAGAGCCGCACGAGGGCCACCTGAAAATCATTGCCACTTGGAACGACATCACGATTCTGGAGCATCATATGACCAAGGAAACATTGTTGCTGCGTGGCGAGGTCACATTGAAATTCAATGCTGCCGGTTTCGCGTTCGTCCGAGTGGCAGGGGAGAGTACGTGGCTGTCGAAGCTCTTGAAGTATCACCTTTTTAGACGTGCTTCCAGCGAGGGCGACACGTCCGAGGGCTCGTCGGAGACGGAGCCTTTCGTTATTACCCGCACAGAGACAGGAACCCAGTCGCAATGGCTGAAAAGCTTCCTCCTTGGAAGAAGACTGTTGCAGACTGATTTGTCAACCGCACTCCAAACGGAGAAACCAGTCTCCATTCTGCAAGCCCGAGGACCCTGTAGGCATTTCTGGCGGCTTACTTCCTTTATCCGAAAGCCACGACAGACGATTATGGGCAAGCTGCGACGGTTCTGGCTGCCAGCCTTTGTGTCCGAGCTCCAGCTGGAAAGCGGGAGAGGGCACGTGCTCTGGCCGCCTCACTGCAAGGAGACGGGACAAGGCGAAACGGAGGACACGGCTCATGATCTGTTCGTCAGCACGTTGTTTCTCTGCTTTCTGCTGCATATGTTGTACGTCTACTCTGATGAGACCACGACATTGCTCCCCCTGTTCCTTCAGAGGTTGTTGCCGGAGAAGTGGAGGGTTCGGGTCGCGTCCGAGGCAGCTTCTCTGGTCATCCGACACGGCAATGTCACATTGTCCGAGTTGACCGAGAGGACCTGCTACAAAGAGCGGATGCGGGGCTCCAAGAAGACTGTGCCCATGAAGTCCAGGAAGACCCAGCCCGTGCACGAGGTGCTCAAGCAACTCTGGAGGACGAAGGCCCTGCGGTGGCTTCGAGCAGACGTCTTGAAAGGCTTGTCCGGGGCAGTGGATGCTGGTGTTCTGGCCTCCGACTTCGGGGAGGATCCCTGCCAGGACTCCATTTTCGACAGCAGCGACAAGCCAGACATGCGTGATCCTGCCGTCCGAATGGCCAGAGTGCGAGCAGCCCGCGTCGTCCGAGGCCCCGCCGATGCCAAGCTGTCCGCCCGAGCCAAGACCAACCTGAAGGTGCAGAAGGTCCGAGCTCGGTCGATGGTGAAGGCCAGGCAGCGCGTCCGAGAACGGTTCCAGTATTGGATGTCCTGCAGGCGGGTGCTTGGATCGGCGAAGACGTTGCACATTGCCTTCGATGCGTCCCGAGTCGGAGGCAAGAAGAGGTCGTACTATGCGATCCTGGACAGCCACACTGGGTTGGCAGCATGGGGGCCACCGCTGATTCTGAGGGATTCTGGGTACAGGGCTGTCACGTCCGAGCCCACTCCCGAGGAGCAGGGGAGGCTGGACTCCAAGACCCGAGGGTATCTGCTGAGCTTGCGTGCCCGAGACAATGCTCTGTCGTCCGAGGCTGCGGCGCCTGTGGTCGAGAAGAAGCAGCGGTTGCCTTCTTTCGAGCAGGTGGTGGCGCTGGAGCAGACGTTGCAGAGCATGTGTCCGAGTGCAGCAAGCCTGCTGGAGTTCACAGCCCCAGACCCGGAAGGTCGCCTGGAGATGCCCGTGCTGTGTTTCAATGCGGACGCTGGGCCGGACGTAATGAGCTGCTTACAGTTCTTGCAGAACCACGTCCGAGTCCGCATGATCCACTTTTGGGATCCAAGACACCGACTCGCCCGAGAGTTGGAAAATGCTGTGAGCCATGCAAAGCTGAAAGGCGCCCTGTCCCTAGGCGAGCTAGTTATCAACTTTAGTCGGGGCCCGTGGAGCTCGCACAAATGGTTCCGCCGTCTGCAGGAGGAGATGGTAGACTTCGCTGCAACACTGTCTGCTGCACCGCCAGACGTGCGAGAGAGAGGCGGCTTTCTCTTTCAGCATCTCCGGGAGGAGATTGCACTCCAGGCTGGCTTGCATGTCGAGGAAGTCACACCCGAGAAATGCAAGGATCTCTTGCAACACAGCGGCTTCTTGAGGAAGCGTGGGCCCAGCAACATGAGCAGGTGGGATGCATTTGCTGTGGGTTGGTCCGAGAGAAAGTCCGAGCTGGGCCTCCTGAAGCTACTGTGCCTGTCCTATGGCCTCAAAGCCGGCTATCTCCAGCCGGCGACCAATGCCGCCGCCAACCGAGCTACCGAAGAATGGGCCGGCCAGGTCTTGTCCGAGGGCGACGGAGACAACACATTGGGCTCTGATGCCAAGCAGCGCCTGTTCCAGAAGTGCGTCAACAAGCTTCATGTGGTCACCAACATCTTGTTGCAGAAAGACACGTGTGACAAGCTCAACTGTTGGTTTCACTTGAGTTGGCCGATCTCTCAGGAGCTGCATCGCCTCAGGACCACCCTGAAGAGAGGTCGAGATGGTTGTGAACAGCATCTCCTAGAAGAGGCCCGCGGCTCTAGCTTGGAAGTCCTCACGACCATCTTCGAGACTGCAGTGTGTCCCGACGTCCGAGAAGACCTGGCTATTTGGCACGGTGCCCGCCTCGGTGCAGGGATGATCGGCCGAATGACGGTCGAGGACCCTATCGTCAAATTCCAGAACAAGACATGCCAGATGGTGCTGGAAACTGCTTTGGAATTGGCTCACGTCAAGATGCAGTATGCCTCGGTTACCATGTTTTCTTGGCCCTCCCAGCTCGTCCTCCTTGCCTTCGGAACCGAAGAAGAGCAGAACGTTACACTCGTGAATCTGTACCTGTCCGAGCAGGCACACGCCCGAGCCATGGCCAACAGCGAGAAGCTGAAATGGCTCCGGGTGTTTGCAAAGCGATCGCCGATGGGGTCCAGGCTTATGCGGGACGTCGTCGCGAACTTGCATTCGTCCGAGTGGCGCATCACGAAACGTTTGCTGAATTGGCTGCAGCCGCTCTTCCGAGGTTTGGGGGCCACCTGGAACGAGGAAGCGTTTGGCGACGCCCGAGAGTTGGAGGGCAAGGAGAACAAGGGCCACGAGCTGAGCTCCACGGAGGCTTGGGAGTGTTGCTCTTACAGTCGGACGCTCACCTCCTTTGGATTTCGGGAAATCCAAACCGAGCCGACCGAGGCCGAAGGCAACATTCCCGAGTCTCTCTTCCGTCTGGAGAAAAACAAGGTGCCCGAGAAATTGAAAGCAATAACTGCACCAATGAAGTGGACCTCCCTCAGCCAAATTGGTCTTTGTGCTGTGGCCTGCGAGTTGGCCGTCCTGAAGGATGCCATGGATCAGGACCGAGTGGCTCAGCTTAGCGACTCCTGGCGGAGCGGGATGTTAAGAAGGGGCACCGTAGTTGGCCACACCTCTTTTCCCGAGTCCGACAGATATCTATCCATGGGCGCCTGGCCATCGCATTCCGGTGCACTTCTGCTGCCCTTGAAAACCTGCCAGGGCGGCTTCAACTTGGACCTTCCACTCACAAAAGACAAGCTGAAGTTTGTTCAGGTCTTTCGACTCTCCGATTGGTTTGCGTTGCCCACGACCGTTAAGAGCCCTTTGCACCATGCCATTCGAAACGGCGGCACTCCGACAACCGCACCCCTCCTCACGGTGACAGGCGAAGCCCGGAAACCTATCCTTCAGTACTGTGCGGAGCATGCTTTCTTCGACATGGACGAAACACGACTGTCTTTCATTCTCAAGGAAGAGTGTGGCATGGGAGACCTCGATTTTTCCAATGCCGAAACTGCCTTGGGTGAGATGCTTTCCACGGCCGTTCAAAAGACTCTGTCTGTGTCCGAGGACCAGGCAGCAGACATCATGGAAAGGTCCCTGAAGTATCGACAAGCCGATGATGCAGATTTGAATGAAATCCTGCAGTCGCCCGAGTTTCAGGAGCTCCTGACGGCCGAAACTGACAAGCAAATCAAGGAAGTCTTGTCCGAGTCCAAAACAAAGCATCGCAAGGCCATGTCCGTGTCAGCAAAGATCCGGCAAACCCGGACTGCTGCAGTCAAGAAGGACAAAAAAAAAAAGGACGTCAAGCGGAAGCCTGTGAGGTTCGAGTCGAAACAACTTTACTCGGAGGAACACGTCAATGGTTGGTTGCCG